GACTCTGAGGCAGTCCGAGGCCTGATAGGCCCTGCAGGCTCCGAAAATTGGGCCAACGCCCAAAACTCCCACCTGCTGCTTGGGGCGGTCTGCTGGGGCCGAGGGACCTAGGAAGGCTCCCTCCAGGCCTGACGAGCCTCGTCGTCGCTTGCGGAGCCCCCCAGACAATTGGTAAACTTACCTTTGCTTCTGGGGCCTTCGGCCGTCAGCATGTGGAATCTGCGGCCTCCGACGATCAGCTGGCAGCAGGGAGTTCGTCAGAGTAGCGTTTGGCAAAAAATGGAGCCTCTGAAGCAGAGGAACAGCCCCTGATAGGAGATCTAAGCTCCCCTGGAAATTTAATTTTGGGCTTGAATTCCTTAAGGCTGAGAGGATGATGGTCCTTGAAATTTTTTCTTTGTATATAATCAATTCTAATAATAAATAAATAGCCTGAGCTAAGGAAATAAATGGAAAAAAACAGTCTTCTGCTCCAGGAGCGAAGAAAAAACGCGTCTTAGAGCAAAGAGACTAAGTCTAAAACTGGGGTGCACTTAGCACAGAGGGGCGTTACCAATTTCAGACTTAGTCTAATTGGAGCAGATAGATTAAGACAACCCATCCGTGGGTTCTCCATCCAATCATGCTGGAGAACTGCCTTTTACTTTTTACTGCTATTCTATTGCATGAATTGTTGAAGAATAGTCAAAGGGAGAAAACAACTATGCATTTCCTTCCTACAATATTCTTGTCCCATGTTAAATGTCAAAGGAGAAGATAGGAGAGTAGTATTTCAATTCTGTTTTTATAACTTGGTCATTCTCCTGGAAGACACAGAACTCTAGTGCAGTGTTTCTCAACATTAGCAAGTTTTAAATGTGTGGACTTCAACTCCCAAAATTCCTCAACCACCCATCTTAATGTTCCCAAGATTCAGAAACATTGTTCTAGTGCAGTGGTTCTCAACCTGTGGGTCGGGACCCCATTTGGGGTCGAACGACCATTTCACGGGGGTCGCCAAACAACGCAGTCCGCCATTTTTTTCCCCTTTTCCTTAGCTGTGCTACTCCCTTTTATTCTATTGGCTTTTGAAAGCCAATAGAATAGACGCTCTTGAATAGAGTCTAATTCTATTGGCTTTCAAAAGCCAATAGGAATTGTCCAGGCTCTCTCTGCCCTGCTGAGCCTGCCAAAAGTCCCATTCTGCAAACGGTGCTGCACCAGTTGAGTAGTCCTCGACTTACGACCGGTTGAGTAGTCTTCGACTTACGACCGGTTGGGGCTCGCGGCATTAAAAAGGTTGAGAACCACTGTTCTAGTGCATCAAAAAAATAATCATATACATCATTTGTGGGAAAGCAGAATCTATGGGGGCGGGGGGGGAGTCACAGAACAGATTGTCAATTACATTGCATGTGATGCTTGAAGGACTGAGCCAGATATCACAATACGAGTATCACATCTTGATATGGAATAGCTGCAGATAACCTTTAGTATCAAAATTCACTTGGGATTAAAAGAATTTTGAAGACATACTAAATTGATTAATGATAGCTCTGCATTTGAAGGCATAAATCTTTTGCTGTCAGTGACCAAACACTAGCCAATTTAATTAAACTTTGCAATTTGCCCTTGATTTTTTCCCCTTGTTTCTAAAAGAAGTGTTAATACACTTCTGTTAAAGGAGATGGAAAGATGTCCTTTGGAACATGAAGCACCAAGCAGTCTCACTTCTTATTCCTTTGCTTAATATCAGACCTGAAATACTAGGGCAGGTAGGTCACCCCGTCTACAGAAAGGCTTCAGTTTGGAGATAAATTCTATTGCCTTCAAAAATGCTTCCTTCCCAACAAGTATGCCAGAATGGCAGCAATTTATCAAACAATACAAAAGGGACCAAATTGATCTAAGGTATTACAAAGGAAAGAATTGGACTCTGTTAGAATTATGATGACCTGGTACTATACAGGAAAAAAGGATTGGAAAGTTCTGCTTCAAATCTTTCAGTAGGAAAATAATGTGAAAAGCAAATGCTTGAAAATGCTTTCCTGTTAGCTATTATAGATAAGACTAAGCAGGAAGAAGTACTTTTTGTCTTTGCTAGAACTGTTTTTTTTTTTTAAGGGGGAAAGGGCATATTGCAATTTTTGTTTTGTATTAATATTGCTTCCACTTTTGTTCCTGTTCATATAGAATTAGGATATACAGATGACTATAAAACTAGCCCATCTTAGTTTTACATTGTTATTTATTTCCAGTAGATTGCTTAAAAATGAAAAATTACAAAATGTATTTTATACTGGACATATATATTTACCCAATATATATTATTTTGTACATATTTTTGTACAAAAATCATATTTACCCATAATTTGTGCATTTTCTACAGAAATGGGAAAACTGTTTTGCCAAATCACTTTGAAAACATTCTGGTGGCTAATGTTATGCCTTGAAAATATGACTTTTGTTTGTTCAATCGCAAGAACCAGATCCAACTGAACACAAATCATTGAATTTATCTTTCCATATTTGTACATATTTAATTTGAGGATCATCTGTGGATTGAATTTAATATGGCAATTTACTCAATTTAATGTATTGTAAAGTGGGTGAAAGTGTGCACTTTCAATAGAAATGGTAAAAAACACTTATTTATCTAGCACTTAACATAATTCAGCAAGTATAATAAAAATGAAGCCTGTTGACTTGATATAAGCTCCCTTTCAAAAACTATCCTAAATATTATAAACAATAACAATTTAAGTCAACTATTTTAATATATATAATGGAGGAGTTTTCTGAATAAATGAAAACCATGTTAAAAGTTCACTTTATTGTCATCTCCCCCACATATATAAATAGTTTTTCTCCCCTGAATTACTGAGGGAAGAACATATAAGAAAAAAATGCAAGAATGCAAGAAAAATGAATTGAATAAACACAATATTAAAATGCATAGAAGTCTATTGAAGAACTATCAGAACAATATTTGGAATATATATAGAATTCTCTAGAACTGGAGCATATCAAACTTTCATAATCAAATACTATTACAGAAAGCACCCTATTCATGTACTACAGTAAGCTTCACTTCATGTTCACTGAAGAACATCATCAATCTCATCTGCCCAAAGGACACTGTCTGAATCAAGTTGTTTTTCTTACCCCAATACAAAAGGAAGATGTGGTCTCAGCAGCCACCTGAAACCTAGCCATAATCTATAATAGGGTCAGCTCCACCAACTATAATAGGGTTAGCTGCAGTATAGAAGAATTGATTCTATCTAATTTGCTTTCTATAAACATAGGATGATCATTGTCTCTGCTAGGGACTATGTAGCTCAGCTAACAGCACTCTGAATATGATATTAGCCTATACTCCAAGGTTATTAGAGCTAGTTTTAAGCATGAATGAAACAACGTGCTGCTTAGGGAGTTACAATCTGAGGGAGGCTCTGAACATTTCAGATTCTTTTCCATTTATTACATTTTGTTGTAGTTTTATATATGAACATCTCCAGATATTAACCCATCCTGAATGTCTTAGATAATCCTCATTAATTACAGTATGCTTTGTTTCTGCATGCATTCATACTTTCTGATCAAAGAGGGCTGTTTCCCACCGAACAATGGGTTTATGATGCATCTTGGTGGTATTTTTCTCAAATTTAGTTTTTTGTTGTTATACTATGAAGAACCATTCTAGCTTTTCATATCTTAGGGTTTCACCATGTCTAAATCTAGGCCAAATGGTGACATTACATTATCCTATCTTGCCGAATCAAATAGCCAGACAGATTTATTTATTTTGGAAGTAGAAATAGAACATCCTTGAAAAACCTTCACTCTTTTCTGGAATTTAAAAACAATTCTGATCACATATTTTTAAAATGTGGTTCTTTCATAATTTTCCTAAGTACCTGCATGATGCATCTATTTGCTCTTTGCAGTGGTAGATATTAAAGATAGGCCAATCATCCTGTCCAAACTCTTTTCCAAACTTGTGGGAAAAGATATTGGGGGGACAATTTCTTCAAATTTGTGAGAATACCATCACTGAAAAAGCCTAATCATAGCTTTTTCACCATGATAACTTCTTTTAGGATTTACTGGAAGTGTGAGAAGAATAGAAGCTGATGTGAACTGATGGAGAGACAAGGACAAAGTAAAGGACAACAGATACAGAGCCATCTCCTTGCTAAATCAGTGCAAAACTCTACTCTAACCATAAAGTGTTTCCAAATTTCTCTACTCTCTCAAAACAATTTTGAATGCAAATTGCCTTTTATCAGATTGAATGACAACTTGTAGAAATAAATGTGGGAAAATGTCTCTAGCCGGCATCAGTAGGAATAGCCTTCCCTGAGTGTTAAATTACTATTGCAAACACATAGTTTAAGCAAATGTTAGGCAGGTGCCCAGTTGTCTTTTTCATTGCCTTGTAGATAATTTCAGTTTTCAGATTAATGAGGCTTGATACAACACAGTTCTTAGCAATTAGGTTACAATCAGTAAGTGAACTGCAGATGCTGGGTTTCCAAAATATAGTCTAACTATATTACTTTTGCATTCTAAACCTTGATCCAAATATGATTTGTGCACTACTGATGTTGTTTTTTTTAAATTGTTCTATGGGATATCCAATCATTTACTACATTTAAGTAAGTAATCTAACACCAAACTGAACACAATGTGGAATATCCAAGACTATAGACCATTTCAGTCTGCAAAGTGGGGATTTAACCTTCTTCCATCACCAATTTCCTGACTCAAACCCAGTTGTGTCATTATTTATTCAGTGTCATTAGGTAATGTAAGGACCTATCCCAACTGACCCTCTCAGAAAAGTACAACTCTTGACGCCACGTGGTTAATCAAAAGAACCTTTACTGAGAAACTGTGGTTGCAGTAAGGTCAAGAGGAATCTAATGTTCCCATACAAAGCACCCAACTAGTCTTCCACTTTGAAACCCAACCTTCCTGACCAGTCCACCAGCAGACAATACACTGCCACAAGGTGGTTTTTTTTTTTTTTTGAGAATGCTGAGGTACAGGATAGATAATGGGTCCTCCTCAAGGTGCAGTGACCTTGGAGTCAAGCTGGAACTGGCTGAGAGGGAATCTATTCCATCTCCAAAAATGATCCCCCTCCCTAATTCCCATGCAGTTATAGCAAAAGTGAAAGCATGTAAAGAATGGTCCCCTGGAGCCTCCTCTCCCTTCCACCAGAATACCCAAAAAAGGAAACCTGACAGCTACTTTCAATTAGATACCAAGCAGACAATTTACTTTTTCTTCTTATATTACTAGTAGAAGCTTTAAATCTGGGGAAAGATGCAAGGAAATCCAGCTGTTTACTAAGCAATTCCTTCTTCCTTTGGCTGTTAGATGCCAAATTAGGAGCATGGAAAGCTGCCAGTGGTCCATCTAATCCTAGGTAGTTAATAATGGCTGGCAGCTGTTCTCTAAGGTTTCCAGGAAGATATATTTTTTTTCCCAGATCGGTTTGGAGATGCCAGAAACTGATTCTGGAGTATTTTGCATGGAAATCACATATTCAGCCAATAAACTATGGTTCCACCTCTGCTTTAAGAAATAAGAAAAGTGCCAAAAATATCTTACTATGTTCTTCTCTAGATGATTTTTCCCTTTTAATTCAACCACAACATCAGAATTAATATTTTTAGTAACTCATTTATTTTGCTGAATTCTGTACCAAATGTTTTATAAATACATGTGCATACCAAATAGACAAATAAATACTTTAATGCATGTTTAAATTTAACTGTATCTTGCTTTATGAAATAAAGCTTTCATGGGATCAGTTAAGATATAGGAGACAAAACACTTCAGTGCCTGACATTTATTGTCTACAGCTATCTATATTCTCATAGGTAAAACACTATCAAAACATGAGCACATAGAAAAGATTAGCACATCTTCATCCAATGAATGTTTGTTTCTCAGTGTGTATGGCAGGATTACTTGCTGGCACAGGAATATATCAAAGGGAAAAAAAAGTATGGAAAACATGCACCAACCATAAAACCTATATTGTATATAAAATGTTTCTTTTATCACATCTTTAAAATTTAAAAATTCTAAATATGATCTTAAAAGTCAGTCACCTTAGCGTAATGGATGGAAACTAATCAAGGAGAGAAGAACAATTAATCAGTGGAATGACTTGCCTCCAAAAGTTGTGGGTGCTCCAACACTGGAGGTTTTTAAGAAGAGATTGGACAACCATTTGTCTCAAGTGGTATAGGGTTTCCTGCTTGAGCAGGGTGTTGGACTAGAAGACCCCTAAGGTTCCTTCCGACTCTGTTACTCTGTTATTCGTGCAACTGTAGCAACAGGAAATGCTGCTTAGAACGTCCATGAGAGGAAGTTGGACTGCCACCTATTGCAATCCTGTTAGGCTGAATCAACAATTTCATTCATACAGTAAGTCTAATTATAATTTGCTGATTCGGCCCCATGGCACTAGTACGTAAATGCCTGGGGTCGCAAAATATGCTATTCCAAAGGACATTTTTTCCATGGGTGATGGGTGAACTAAATGTATGTCTCTGATGTAATCATAATATTTCTTTTATGACAGTCACAGTAAGAAATGTGCACTTCTTAATTATGATAGGACATGATGATAAAGTCAAGGTGTTGCTCGTTTTTAAGGAAAAAAGAGGGAAAACAATTTTAAAACATTGAAATTAATGGAAATATGCATGCATTATCTGGTTTAAGTCAAATTAAATTTTCTAATGCCAACTGATCAATTATTAAGGGGTGTTTTAAAAAATTGAAGTGAAATGGGAAATTAAAGAGTGTTTTCAAAATAGTGTATGAGTCGGTAAACAACATCTACTGACAATAGTAGCAAATATTTATTTTTGCAATGGAAATGATGGCTTATTATGGCAATTGTAATATGACATGTTTATGAGATGTGAACTTTATCCCATTTTTAATGCAAACATGCTTATTTTTAATTTTTCTTACAAATTGTAATTTAGTTTGATATGTTTGTCAATGGGGATTATCTTCCTTCTTTGAAAACACAGCTGAGTGTTCCCATAATCAATCTATTACAATCTCAAAGAATTGACAATTCAGCACATGAACCTTTCACAATCTTGGGGTCATAGCTAGTGTAATACATCATTTAAGTGATGCCAATGAGATTTGTGCACAGGAAGAAAATAGGTTTTTGGTATTGAAGGATGTGTTCAAACATAGAAAGTTATACTTTCCATCTTGAAAAACAAAGGGTAGAATACTTTATTCATTTCCCTTTCCTCTCCCTCTTTGCTGCTTATGCAAACTTTAGTTAACCTTTGCATTGTTGTTCCAAAAGTAATCTGCATTATCTCAAGAATTTACTGCTTATCTCCTTCCAATCAATACAAAATCAAGTGGCATAATTGTGGGACATTTAAAAAAAATCAACACCCCTAAAAGAGATTGAGCTAAATAATGTGAATTTGTAGTAACAGTAAATACATTTCCTGCCCTTTGGAGACAAGCACAATTGTAACCTTGTTAATTGATCAGAATATATTGCCTGCAGTTGTGACCCATTGCATTAAAAGCCAAGCAATAATCTTTGGCACTAAACACATTGTTTATTGATTTTTGTTTCTAGCTCATCCAAACAATCAGTGCAGTAGATAAAGATGATGCAATGAAAAAACATAATTTTTCATTCTATTTGATGGAAGAGAGCAAAAACAATTCCAGTTTTGAACTTGAAGATAATGAAAGTAGGTATTAAACATGGTTTTGAGATATTTGAATTCAATTTTGTCATTATTAGATTAGAAACAGAAACTTTTATATCAAAGGAGTGTTTCATTTACTTTGAAAAATGGCCTCCCTGGGTTCTCCCCTCTGCTGATATATCAGTAGCTGCCATGGCTAAGGAATCACAGCCTGAAATACATCTCCTCAAAGGAAAAAAAAAGTCCAATTGCCTTTTGGAAAATACCTTTGGACAAGCATCACCTGGATGACTGAGAATCTCCATAGATTCCTGAGGGCCATTAAAGATTTCTTTTCTGTGCACTCTCTCTTGATGGTCCCTTGAAAACTTTTCTTCACTGTGAGCAACTGCAGGAGCTGTCATTGAGTAATCTATCTTGGCTACTGTCCCTGGCAGCCTTTTTGCCTTTGGGAGTCACCATTGCCATGCATGTGTCCTTGGCAGTGACATTGCTGCTGGCTGTGGACATTCTTGCAGCCATCCTTATCTTGAACACTGTTTTGCCCCAGGGTGGGTATGGCTATTATGGTGGTCCTTAGGAGATGTGGGATGTCTTAGTGGACATCTAATAATGTTGATAATAGTGGGTCTTCAGTTAATAAGTCTCAGTGTTTTGATAAGGTCTTTAAAAATGGTGTTAGAGGGTCCAGTGATCTATTTTGAGAGATTGTCCACATCATAGTAAATTCTCACTAGCTAAAATAATTATCCAGAGGTCAAAAGTTCATCAGAGATGCTATGCATTTACAAGCTGACTTGAGTTATTGAAAGAGCTTTGGGTGGAAAATGCTGTGAAGTGTGATTGATAGCAAAAACAGACAACCACAGAAGAAATTATCAAGGGAAGAATTAGAGGTGACAAGAGAAAGTACCAGATCTCCCAATATTTTTCTTCTGGTTTATTATAACCAACATTCTATCTTTTATTCCCCAAATTTATTTGCACTATTTTCTCTAAGCTCTAGGTCATCTCTACTATAAAGTCATAAACTCTGCTCGGTTTTGTTATCCATCTATAATCCCCTGAGGAATTCCTAGCTAAGAAATATCTCTTCTCTCCTGTGTTGCTGGGATTTTTTTTTTAAACAGAGGTCAAGTCTTTGTGACTGGGTCATATATGACTTAAGATACTGGTCAAGTTGGGTACATGATCCCTGGCTTTCTAAACAGCATTTATTATTAGGCATATTCTTTTAGTAGGCAAGGGTGCAAATAAGTCAGTGAGAATAAGTTTAGAGCATACAGGTTTCCTACAATACATAAAGAAGCTTACATTATCCACAAGCTGAAGTAATTACCATTAGTAAAAATAACTTTACTTGATCTGAAGCCAACTATAACCCCCTCCCCCAAATTATTTTTGTTGTCTTTGTACTTTCGTCTGCTAGTCATAATCCTTTCATTCATCCTTGTGTTTTTTTCCCCCTGTCCTTTGGCATTGCCTTTTTTTTCCTGCTTGCTCTTCTCAAGAGATAACTTTCCCCCAAGGTTAAAGAATGTTTTCTAAAAAGGAATTTTGGCTATTGGTGAATCAGATTACTGATTTGCAACACTGAGCCATGGTGGCACAGTGGTTAGAATGCAGTACTGCAGGCTAACTCATTGCTCACTCCAGGAGTTTGATTCTGTACAGCTCAGGATTGATTCAGCCTTCCATCCTTCTGAGGTCAGTAAAATAAGGACCCAGATTGTTGAGGGAAATAAGCTGAGTTTGTAAACCACTTAGAGAGGGCTATAAAGCACTATGAAGCGGTATATGTCTAAGTGCTATTGCTATATGAATATTATTTTCATAATCTTTGATATGTTGTATATGAGCAGCTGACAGAAAATATAACTCTCATCACTAATAATTTTGATTATTAAAACTATCCTTTATAAAATACCCTATAAATCTATTTAGCTATGACAACTCAATACTATTTGTTAATGTGTTTCCCCAAAAGTAAGCCCTACCCCAAAAATAAGCCCTAGTTTTGGGGCAAGGCATACACCTAAAATTCAAGCTAGGGTGGGGGTGGAGGTGGAGCTGCCCCACATGCCTTGCACCCGCTTACCATTGCAACCAGGCCTCCTATTAATTGATTGAATCCATAGCTCGGTTCTTGGCTGCAGAGGCCTTTCTGGAAGGCCTCTGACAGCAAAATGCAGGCCAGGGGATGCCGCATGCATCAATCCAGAACTCCATTCTCACCTGCAGAGTCATTTCCTTTGGCCACAGAAGTGGGCCAGCTGGACGGGTCTTTTGGTGCCTGGTGCCTATTTTGGAGGCAAAAAAAAGAAAAAGACTGGGTCTTATTTTCAGGGAAACATGGTATATAAAATATGAAGGACAAAGAGTTGTATCTGTTACATTTACTTTCTTTTTATAGAAAAAAAATCTACACAAGAATGGCTGAAAATAGAGTGTTTGGTAGGACCTCCAATATATTATTAAGATATTTTTTGTAATCATTGAAAAGTATAATTGATTAGACTCTTATTTTAAGAGCTATTTTATAAATCTGTGGTTCAGGATCCTTTTAAAAAAATGCATAGAAACCTATTTGATAGGTTCCTAGTTGCTTTCGAAATATAGCAAATTTTCATACTATAGATCTTCCTATTATCTGGTAAAGCTGCCAAGTGCTGAGTGATATTAGGAAAGCAGATAGAAAGCAAAGACACTGGATTTAAAATGAAGCAAAGATGTAATATGAATAAATGTTTAAATTGTATTTGCTAAAATGAAATTAAGGAGAAGGAAATGAAATTCATAATTATATAACTTTTTTTAGTTCTTTGGTACTGATGTCATTATGTGGATAGCTTTTCTGTGCTGTGGTGATATGCAGCATTTATATGGATCCTGAAAGCTGAGAAGGAATATTATAAAAGAAATACCAATTTAAAAAAAAATCCAAAGGGAAAACCTAAGTTGAACAACTGATAAAATTTGCAGCAAAGAAGATCATTAAAGGTAGCCTGCAGAGGCTTAGAAGAAGAGCCATTTCAAATTTAGCTAAAGCATGCATTGCTCATATTTACTTTGCTAATTATATGAATGTTCTGGCTAACTGAATAAATCAATAAATCTAACTTCTGGAAAGCTCATGGTGGTGTAAAAAGAAGTGACTTATTCACCTTTGGACTTGATTAAAATGTCCCAAAACAAAATATGGTATCTCACACCCACCCTATTTAAGTATGATTTCCTAAAATGTGTATTTTGTTATTTATATGTAGCCCTGATTTGGGCTTTTTGTTAATATACAACTCAAGAATAAGCACACCAATATATTCTTTAAGTTCAGTGGTTGTGTTGCCATTGTGCATGATAGCATCCTACATAGTTCATTACTTGTAACCTATGACCAGTACATGCCCAAATATTGCTTCATAGTCATGCAGCAATAATATGATTTATCAAGGCATTTCGTGTTGTTTTTGGGCCTCCTCCATCTTGTATAGAAGCTAAATGTGACAGACAGAGTAATGGAAAAGGAATGGAAGATTCACTTTGTTCTTTAGAAACAAAACACAATTGTGTTGTTGAACAAAGCAGCTTTGAAGGAGTACTTTGCTCTAAGTACTATCTTTTAAAGTCTGCATAGCTTTATTAGTGTTATGCCATTTTATGATACTCATAAATAAATATAATATTCAAGTCCAGTTTAAAGCATTTTTAAAAGCATATTTTTAAAATAGTAATAAAACATAAAGTTTTAAGCTCAGAAGTTTAGACTTAACAAAGATATTGTCTGTTTAAAAATGTCTATATGAAATTCTATGTATTCATGAAAAACAACGGTGACACCAACAACCGTATCAGATATTGTGTAAAATGATGTAATAGTTGCAGAAAGAAATATTTTATACAACAATCCCTCTTCCCAGAGAAAGTCTAGAACTGTTAGATACTGCAGAAACAAAAAATCCAATTTTTGTTATATCTTTTAATTTTTTACTCTCATCATATTGTTAGAATTTATTAGAATACAAATTTGCATTTTTATTCAGTTTGAAAACTTAAAAAAAATGACATTCCAAATTTTGGAATTGTTATTTTGCATAAAAACTGATTTGTTCATAAACAGATTGTTTTTTAAAATTATTATTTTACAGATAACACTGCCAGGATCCTTACTACAAGAAGTCGGTTCCGTCATTCTGAACAATTTATTTATCCCTTGTCCATACTAATTGTGGACAATGGAATCCCTGCTCTCACTGGCACCAGCACTTTGACCGTCACTGTGTGTGATTGTAATGAAGAAGTTAGCCTTTTGTCCTGTAGATACGGAGCATTCCTGATTTCAATGGGGATTAGTGTACAAGCTTTAGTTGCTATTGTAGCTTGCCTACTCATAATATTAGGTAATTTTTTTTCCTTCTGTTTTATGCAAAATATATCTCTGCTACCTTTTCATTGATTAGACCATGCTGCTTATTTTGGTAGATGATAACATTATGGCTTGAAGCCAGAATATGATAAAATTAATTAAACCTCTGAGCTCTTCTCCCACTTTTTCTTATCAGTCTCCTGTGCCCCACCCCACCCCCAGAAAAACCCCCATCCTGTGGAAAATACGCAGGATGGCTATGACACTGGAAGAAAGATAGAAGGAAACATTGTAGAAAACTGGTGGAGAAAGATAGATTTTGCCTAAAACACTCCACAATGACCTTGGTTAAATTTTCTGAATTTGACCTCTTCGCTCATCTCTTCCCAAACTAACTCAAAATGTTCACCATTGTCCACAGTTCATTAAAGCTCATTTCAGTGGACACTGGGGGCTGGTCGGGAAAAAGAAAAGAAATGGAAAGTCAATGTTAACCTCCTCTGTGCTACAGAAGGATATTTAGCTCCAATGTAATGTATCAATTATTTTTAGACATTTTCATCAGTCACACTATTTAATCTAAATAGCTGTTTGTATATTACTTAGATTATCAGTTGACACCTAAAAATATGGCCTCATTCCATCACAGACACAATTTAACTAATCACATAGCTAGCTAGGATTTGCATGTTTATTTTTCACAGACTTACCAAACATTTGTTAATCTTTTTCTTCTGTTTTGTTTTCTTGCTTGCCAGTATTTGTTTTAGCAGTTGTGGCTTTGAAGCACCAAACAAAGCCAGCAGCAGCATTTCACGAGAAAGGAGAAATATTCAGAGAGAATATTTTCAAGTATGATGATGAAGGAGGTGGAGAACAGGACACTGAGGCTTTTGATATTTCTGCACTGAGACCACAAACTGTTCTGCGACAACACAAGCCACGAAGAAATATTACAACAGAAATCCAGAGTCTTTACAGGCAATCTCTTCAAGTTGGTCCTGAAAGTGCAATATTCCGGGAATTCATTAATCAAAAGCTAGAAGAAGCCAATTGTGATCCAAATGTTCCTCCTTATGATTCCCTCCAGATTTTTGCTTTTGAAGGAACAGGTTCATTGGCTGGCTCCCTTAGTTCATTGGAATCAAACTCAGTGGGATCACTTATGGATGACAATTATGATTACCTTGTTGAACTAAGACCTCAAGTCAAAAGTTCAGGAAGCATGAATAACTACAGTTTGGCAGAATGTTGAAGTGCTAAGAAGTGCTAATATCAAAAGAGTGGGAAAGAATTGGAAGGGTGATTAGGATAATCTGAAAAATCAGAAGACAAAGAAATTGATGGCTCTGTCAAGCACTGTTAAACTCAGCACAAATCTTATTGCTGACACATCCTTTTCTAATACACACTATCACAACTGAAAAAAATATGTCAGCACATGGGAATAAGAGATCCACTACATACACTCTTAAAAAGAAGATTCTGAAATTAATAACAAATTGTGCTACTCTCAGATTATCTTTTGGGCCTTAGCAGGCACAGGGATATTTTATTTTTCAAAAGCCTTATTAAAATCATGAGCAGAAACTGTATTTTCTAAGAAAGTTTTCAGCAGAAGAAAGACATTAGAGTGCAGAGTTTTAATTTTTGAACTATTTACAAAACTGTAGATATATTGACTACAGTTTAATTATCATCATAGTAAACTAATATATGCACACACACTTTGTTTTATAATATAAATGCAATTATACAGAATTATATATGTATGAATTTAGAAACATGAACAATAATGTGGATGAACTAGAAACCTGGAGGAAGATCAACATAATATTCCCAACTCAAACCTTCTGTACTTTCCTACAGTTGCCTTATGTCTCATAGCTTTTTTCCCCAGATAAATTAACCAATTTGCTATTACACATAACTTAGCATTTGATTGTTTCTTATGTCTCTGCATATTCTTTAGAATATAAATTATTCTATTTTTCTAAAACATGCTAGAATAAAAGCATGATTTGTTAATAAATTCTGCACTGGAATTAGAGATTGAACAGTTGCAACATATTATTTGAATTTATGATTCAAGAATCAGGTAAAATAAGTTATTCAAACTTATTTAAGTTTCAATATTTGATTAAATTTTAAAACATTGACCATGAAGTATTATGGGAAAATATTAAAATATTTGTGACTTCTACTCTTGGGAAAATGGGATGAAAATAGCAAAAATGTAGCACCTATATAGGATGTTAACTAAAGTGTTACTTACATAGCTTCAAGAATTTCACCACAATCAAATTTTAAAATATTCTCTGCATTTCTTTTAAAGCCGCAATAGGTTTAGAGAAAAAAGATTAAAAGACAGTCTTTAGCAAAAAGCCTACAGTGAATTGAATTGAACCACTGCAGAGAAAGAAAGAAAGAAAGAAAGAAAGAAAGAAAGAAAGAAAGAAAGAAAGAAAGAAAGAAAGAAAGAAAGAAAGAAAGAAAGAAAGAAAGAAACTTTTGGTAAAGATTAAAGAGTTCACCATCTGGATTTAGGACCTACAAGTTTATTGGCTTGCCTTATTGTCAAGATTAGCCATGCTTAAATTGTTTATGGAACAATTTAAAAGCATGTGTGAGAAGCAAGTGCATTAAGACTTCTTTGTATATGATACAATACTATATAAAGGAATACTCTATTATACGTAATAGTCTAAAAAGCAAGCACTTTATCTCAGACTCATTTATTTGCTGAAAACTCACTCTCAGGCAAAAGAAAAAAGAAAAAGAAAAACAGGCTTTTTGTCTTATTTAAAATTTTGAAGGGATGGTGGGGAGAATGAAAAAGAATATAAAGGAAACTAAAAGAGCAGAGGAATTGCAGAGATTGTCTTACCATTCAAATACAGTTATTTGATAGTTAAGGGATTATAAGAATCTGAGGAAGAGGTGATAACAGAGAGAGAGAGCAAACCAAGCAAAATAAACTCAAAGATGTCTCTTCTCTTGTCCTTCCAGGCAGATCTACAGAAAAAAAAAATCTAACTGAAAAGTAAGAAACAAACAATAAAATAATATTTCCCCAAATATTCTGATAAGCAGGGTTGATGAAGGAGATAAAACTCAAAGACTCATATCAGTATTGGATCCCATGACATCATTCAGGTCCCATGAGATCATTCTGCAACAATGTTTAAGCATGGAACATATACTGATTCTCCAAATCTTCTTTGAACTCTGAAACAATTTAAATCATCTAATCAGTTAAATGTCTTAGAGAGATTCGATTTGAAGGGATAATCTGATAAAATCTCATGAACTTGAAGATCTTTTCAAAGTTTTGCAAAACCTTAATAGTCAACTTGCATTCACAGCTGACACTTTTCAAAATCCATTTGGAAGTTTATTGATTTCTCACTGGCAGAAATATGAAAAAGTTAAAATTGAGCAATTTCAAAAATAAAGGAATTTTCACTTTAATTGCCCTAAACAGTTTATGTTACAGTCTATAAAAACAAATGCTATTCACATTTACTGTAGCCCTTCCCTTCTTAAAAATGATTGATTTCCTAGTGTTATTTTATTTTTACTATAGAATATAAAATTAGCTTCAGCAATCAATTTTATTATCAGAATATTAAAAAAAAACTTTTAAAATGCTGACATAAAATGTTATGTATAAGTTAATATTAATAATAAGTTAATACAAGGCATTAATGTTAATCTAGCTTTTAAAGAAATGATCCCATCCATTACATCTCTTCAAAATTAAATTAAATGTTCCTATTGTATTGTTTGTTTGCACAATCTCTTGACATAATAAAATTGCCCAAAATGAAAAATACTGACTACCTCTAATGTTAGACAAGTCAGATCATGTATAAGTTACAGTACAAAGCATCTAGGTTAAGGGACCGGGTAAACTACATATGAACATTTAGTATTTTTTGAGAATATCAAAAGAAGCTTGTGATACTCAGCCACAAAATATTACCACAGAACAAGTTGCAATTTCATGAACACTGGATGGACTGTTTTATTTTTCAAGCAAATAAAAAAAAAATGTCAACTGAATATAAGTTAAGTCTAGATAATCCTGGGAAATTGATATGGAGCATTGTAAGCACTAGTTGGCAACCTGTGGTTTTCCAATTGTTCTGAAATCAAATCCCATAGGGCTGGTGATCGAAGATAATCCTGCCATTCAATGACATGTGGAGGTTGCTCACTGCTGTGCATTGTGGGGAAACCTACTTATATTAAATCTCACAGGTGATTGCTTGTATATCCTCCCAATTGAGGTCAGTTAATTAGATGTGTGTGTGAAAGAACAACTTCGACATTATTGGGACAGAAATGTTATACAGAGAGGGAATCCTAGAGAAGGCTATTGAGCCAAAGCAGGCATCTGACTTTTGCAACGTATTATGCCGTGACCTAATTTTTTACTTCCCAAATGATGTTCAGTTTGGTACCTTTATATTATTTTATAGTTAAGGTTATGTCAGAAATATCTTTGTTTACAATGCTCAGATATCAGAATGCATTCCAAAACAGACATTGTGAAGGAGAAATACATTTAAGAATGCATATTTCAAAAGCAGATGTGTTAAAATATATGCATTTAATGCGTGTGTGATTTGATTTACATTTCAAATCAATATGTGTTTTAATTACATCAGTTGGGAAAAACTATATTTTTAAACTATATTGTTTAACTATATTTTTAACTTTAAAATGTTTAAGTATATTTTTAAATGCAAAAAGTAGCAAAAGTAGCAAAAATGATATTGATAAAAAGGAAATTGTACCAGAAAAGGCAATACAATATGTATCATTGTGCTTTAACATCACTAAAGAAGGTGCAACCTCTGCTCTGGAATTCAATGAGAAATGGCTTCAGTACCATTAAATATTGACCAAGAAATAATTTTACTGTTCTAAAGAGTAACTAAAGAAATATAATAGGGCAGCAAGGAATAAAGTATGTTTTTTCCTCTTTCATATTTAAAGAATGAAAAAAGGATGGGAAAAATCTGTAATCTACAAATTGGTTACAATATTTGTTATTAGTAGTAATATACTTATGCAACTGCATCTTTCTCATCTGCTCAAATTCTATTGATGGATAAATAATGAGTATCTGCAGAATATCTAAATTGTGGACTGAACTGCCAAAGACAGCACAAAAATTTCCTTTTAGAATGCATTTCATATGTGTGAGGTTGTTAAGACATGGTGGGAGCAGTGACCTTTGTAGACTGAGAGCTCAGGAACTGACTAGTAAATTACACAAAGGAAAGCTAGTAGTCTCCCAAAGAACCTGCTGAAGTTTATTTCCCCAGGGACAGATTTTTATTTTTATTTTTTAAAAAAAGCCTAAGCAATCCATAATAAGAAGTCAAACTAATGTTCAAAATAAAATATCTGACCAAATAAATTCATTGTTCTAACAGCAGTAATGTGAAGCTTAGTCTTCTTCTTTGTCACCAATAGTTTCAGGAAGCCTTCAGCTTTAGCTGTTGCATTGTCCAGCTTGTACAGTCTCTGGCTCCCTTTCTGTCCATCTTGAGGAGTGAATTCTATTCTCTGCCTGGACATTGTCTTGAATCAAGGCCAGGCAGCAGAGAAGATTGGAGATTTGTTTGTATAGGCCTGATAAAGTTGTCCCAGTGATGCTTTCCCAAAAGGCAACTGTACTTTTTTTTCCCCTTGAAAACATTTCGGTTCTCGTTCAAGGGTGCAAATGGGTGTGGAAATTTCTTGGGACTGAAGTCCCAGAAAGTGGCACACCTAGTTGCACTCTGATTTAGATGACTTTGGGGATACAGATGAAGCCCCAAGTGGCCTCAAGGACTTTCAGAGAGCTGACACAGATGACTTCAAAGAATATAAATCCTTCCTTTCCTCACCATTGAGTTAGAACTGAAGAAGCTTCTTGGATGAGAAGTGAAACATTTTCCAGAAAAACAAACAAACAAACAAACGAAAACCAAGAAAGTCCAGTTGCCTGTTGGAAAAGCACCTTTGGGACAGCCATGACCTGGATGATTGAGAATTGCTATAGATGCCTGATAAAGTTGATTTACCAGGTTCCTTTTCTGTTCGTTTCTCTTTGTTACCTTCTGCTCTCTCCCTCAGCCTTCTTCTCCAACCCCAACCTGCAAAAGAACATGCTAGATTGGATTCTGAAGTTTGCCACAGTAGTATGCCAGGATTAGCAGGCTACTATAACTATAGCCATTTTTTTTAAAAAATGCCTAAATATGTAGTCTTAGGTACATTTATTTTGGGGAACTTGTTTCCAAATATTTATTACAACATTCAGGTGAGAATCAAAGAGAATCAATTATAAGAATCCTAGGAGGAAGCAGCACATACATTAATATAGCTAATAAATTGTAATACAATGTATAAATTATGTAAAAGATAAACAGTGAACAATTTATCTTTTTGCTTGCTTGTTTTTTGGGGAGCAAACATCCATTTCTATGTTTATGTGGTAGTGCTGAGACTCCTGCTGAGGAGACAGAGATGAAAGTTGGCTACATATGCAGAACTTCGCAGCAGTTTCCTGAAGCTGCTTTTATCTTATGGTTGGATAACTTAGTAACTCAAACTACTAAAGCAATTTAACATAAGATAAATAGCTTCTGGTTTAGGGTTTACTGGATAACTCTTGTCTTTCCTTCAGGAATAATGTTTTTTTTTTAACAGCATAGCCAGAGAAAATGCACACATTTTGTGAATCAATGTTTCTACCGCATTTTGTATTTGTTGTAAAAACTACTGCATTCTGTATTTTGCTGGAAACCGAACTGTTGCTTTTATATATTTTGCAAAATACTTTTCCCCCAGAAAGTTTAATAAATAACTTTTAGAAAGGAGAGTTCTGTGAAGCAACTTTATAAAGCTGAAGACAAGTGAGCTCTGCAATGCATGGTCTGTGACAGCTATGTGCTAACAATTTATAACAGCTATCACAAGAATTGGAAAGCATCAAGATTCTTTAGGGAGATGTAGAAGAAGGAAGATTTCACCTAACTAAATCGGTACAGGCTTAGCAGATTTCAATACACTTATTTCTATAAATTTTCTTTTTATTTTAGGTATGTTGAATACTCTGAATGAAATATAAAACCTACTTATTTCGTTATTAGCTATAATTATAGAAATCATAGAAAATGATGGATAGTTGGAAGATACATAATAATCTGATGTTTTCTTTCACTGATTTACTAATATTTATATTAAAACAATCTTTAAATTCATATATCACTCTTTTAATTCCAGCTCACCATATCTTATACATCCATACAGTTGTCCAATAAAATATTTCTATATTTCACTGGTAATACTTGTATTAATCTATATTTCTGTTATGTTTAGATTATAAATTACTATCTATTTAAAAGCAAACAATATGCACCCTTCAGATGAAACAATACTGCACCATAATTAAGAAAAAGAAAGATTACTGTAGCCAGCTAAACTTAAGATCTGGCAATTGGTTTCGTAAATCAGCTGTGACAATTAATTAGACAATTAGAAAGCATATACCTCTGTTCAGTCCACCACAATTTTCCAGAAATCCATTGATTTAGCGTAAATCAACTATGCAAAGAAGGTTGAATGATGATAAATCATGTGCCTGCAGTAATTTTAGTTGCTGACAAGAATACTTTTGCAATCTCTTTAAGCAGTACTTTACTAAGGATATTAGGAATGGGTGCTTAGTGAGAATTACTGCATAAGCTGCTTTTACTATATGCAGATCCTTTCATGTTCTTATATTAGGTTAAATGCTGATTATTAGGGTTTTCTTTTCTTTTTGTGGATCCTGGTCTTAATTTGTAAAGTGCCTTCTTTTTAGATTAGTACCTACCGGACAAAATCCTGATATCCAGTTACTATTTCATATTCTGATTAACTTTTCAGTGGCAGTTACATAGGGCTTTTCATTAAAAAAAGGTTTTAACAAAATTATGTCTTTGAGGAATTCTTCAGCTGAAAAGATTGTGATTTCTGGATTTTCCTCAGAATGCATTCACGTTTTTTCTGAATGCATTTTCTCTCCTAAAAATAAAGAGGAAAAATCTTACTTAATGCTGATTCATCACAATTCTAGGCAATGTTTGCAAATATCTTCATAATGTTCCATTTATTAGATTTCCAAGGATGGCTCCTCTTTCCTAATACTTGATAAGCCATTACCTTATTAATATTGCTGTTATAAACTTATTTAATTTCTGTGCAGGTTACTTTTTTAACTAATACAATCATTATTAATATTACATAGCATAAACTAATTAAATTCATTGCTGTGAATTTAAATCTACAGTCTTATATTCTATAATGGGGATGACAGCTGTCTAGATGAAGTATCCTCATGGTTAACTGTTAGCTTGTGCTATATCCACATACCTGGGAATGAAACTCCTTTAACCAGAATGAAGGGGAAAAAAATATGGGTTAATAAATCTGGAGCTCACTTTACCGTCCTTAGAAAGATAGAAGGCTGAGTCAACTTTGAACCGGTCAGGATCGAACTGGCAGTGAGCAGAATTAGTCTGCAATACTGCATTCTAACACTGCATTACCACAGCTGTTTAATAGGTATAGCTAACATGCTGACATAGTAGGAAGGATTAAATAATAATAAGGTCACCCAGATGGGTTTATCAAAAATGTTCTAACGTCATGCTGTAATTTCCACTGTGTTTGACTTTTCCATTTTCTTGTCTTGAGATGTAATAGACAAAAAGGTACATAAATGGTGATTCTGCTTTTGCTCACAGCTACCAATGCTTTGCTGGAAGCTCAGTGCACACTGGTTCTTTTTTGCATGCTTAACAAATTTATGTTGTATTTTCAAAGAAATGTAGTTGCTTTGGCCAGGGCAGTATATTAATAAACTGCATTTTGTTGCTTTAAGCTTATGGTTAATGAACATAATCTATATATACCTTGAACATAAAATTATATATACCATACTGTAAGTTTTACTAGAATTCTTAGCTTTACTTTGGAAATCTACCCTGCAAGTACAGCAAAAAGCAAGGAAATGAACAACATGGTTAGATAAATTTGTAACAAATTCATTTTAAAAGAGCTAGGATGAAATTGAGCCAAAATTTTTTAAAAAGGTAGATTCTTTGCATCAAGACCCATTATCAGAAACATTTGTGAGTTTTCATAAGCTAGCTGTATTTTAGGAAATCATCAATCATTTCTGTCCTCTTGGGAAAAAAAAACCAGGAAAATTTGTTTTCAGCACTAAGACAGCAAAGCCAAACATTTTCAAGGTTAAATGGTATATAGAATGTAAATCTTGACTAGAAGTTTTCTGGCACTTTTATGCATCAGTTGCAATGACTGCTGAATGTTAAATGGGCTGCACATAAAAGAATATGCCATGATTCCATAACATAAAGATATTCAAACATCAAATGTAAGAGGCATTTTATAAGTGTCGTGATAACTAAAGTACCTTACAGATAATTAAAATCTTTTTTTCCCCAATCCTTACTTAGTACATGTTTGTTTCTCAGGGGGTTTTGACCCACATTAATCCTGACTATAGCAATATCATAGTTACCGTAGTTAAATTTATTCTTTTCACTCACACACTGCTGGATCCAAACCCAGCAGGCAATTGCTTTATATTATTGTTGTTATCCCTCCTTCCTCCTTCTCCTTCTGCTTTTTTTAAAAAAAAAATAATAAAGGCAATTTTATCATTTCACTGATCTTCCAATCATCAGAAGTAGAAGATACCTCTTCAGCTTCCAAGTAGCCCAAATAATTGTGGGCTTGTAGAAATGTGGTGTGAACAGTTTACCTGAGTGACCTTCAGATAAATAAAACCTTGCGAAATGGTAGAACTGAACCATCAGCAATTCAAGCTTCATTGAAAGAGTCTTCAGCATGGCATTTACCGAAAAAGGAGGCATACTTCTGGGATGCAGAAAAGCTTCAAAGATATTTTTCAATAATATTCAAAGATAAACTGAAAGACAAAAAAGACAAGTACAAAAAAATGGAAAGAGGGACATGTAACTAAGGCTGGTTATCAACAGACAGCCAGAACATGGAAATATGAAGTCAGGAAAGGCAAGGCTCAGAATGAACGAAGACTTGCAACAGAAATCAAGGACAATAAAAAAAGTTTCTATCAACATATTAATAACAAGAAAAAAGTCAAGGAAACTGTAGGTCCACTAAAGAGAGAAGATGGCAAGGAAGTAACAGGCAGTAGGAAGAAAGCAGAGCTGCTTAACTCATTCTTTGCAACAGTTTTCACACAAAAAGAAATTATAGCCCAACATATATATAAAAAAAACCTACTGCAAAAGACAAACTTGAAACAAAAATTAAAATAAGCAAGAAAATGGTAAGAGAACATCTATCTGACCTTGATGATTATAAATCACTGAGACTTGACAGATTACATCCCAGAGTTCTGAAGGAGCTGGCAGATGTTATCTCAGAATCATTGCAAAAATCCTGGAGCACTGGGGAAGTACCTGATGATTGGAAAAAGGCGTCAAGAAAGGGAAAAAACAACAACAGGAAACTACAAACCAATTAGTCTAACATCAATATCTGGGAAGATCCTGGAAAAGATAATCAAAAAACAGATCTGCAAGTAACTAGAAGCAAACAAAGTTATAACCAGTAGCCAGCATGGGTTTGTCAAAAACAGATCATGCCAAACCAATCTTATTTCACTCTTTGATAAAGTGACTAAATTAATAGACCAGATTAGCAGATTTCAGTAAGGTATTTGACAAAGTAGACCATAACCTGCTGCTTAGTAAGCTAGAAAAAGATGGGATAGACACAACATCATCAGATGGTCTGTTGCTGGCTAACAAACCATATTCAATGAATAGTCCTCAATGGTATTACATCTACACGGAGAGAAGTAAGCAGTGGGGTACCACAAGGCTTCGTCTTAGGCCCAGTACTCTTCAATATCTTCATCAATGACTTAGATGAGGCAATTGAAGGGGAACTTATCAAATTTGCAGAGGACACTAAACTGGCAGGAATAGCCAATGCCCCAGAAGACAAACTCAGGATCCAAAAAGATATTGACAATTGAACAATGGGCCCTATCCAACAAAATGAGTTTAAATATGGAGAAAAGCAAAGTTTTACACTTAGGCAGGAAAAATCAAAGGTTTAAGTATAGATTAGGTGAGACCTGGCTCAAAAACAACAACCATGAGAGGACTTTGAGTCCTAGTGGACGATCACTTGACTATGAGCTAGCAGTGTGCAGCGGCAGCCAAAAAAGCTAATACAATCCTGGGTTATATAAACAGAGGCATAGAATCAAGATCATGCGAAGTATTAGTACCACTTTGTAAAACCCTAGTAAGACCACACCTGGAATACTGCAACCAATTTTCATCACCATACTGCAAAAAAGATGTTGAAACCTTGGAAAAATTTCAGAGAACAGCAACCAAAATGATCAAAGGCCCGGAGACTAAAACATATGAAGACCGGCTGCAGAACTTGGGTTTGGCTAGTCTAAAGAAAAGAAGAAATAGGTGAGACATGATAGCAGTACTCCAGTATTTGAAGGGCTGCCACAAAGAAGAAAGGGCCATGTTATTCTCCAAAGCACCAGACGGCAGGACAAGAAACAGTGGTTGGAAACTGATCAAAGAGCGAAGCAACCTGGAATTAAGGAGAAACTTCCTAACAGTGAGGATAATTAACCAGTGGAACAGCTTGCCTTCAAAAATATTGGGTGCTTCATCACTGGAGATTTTTAAGAAGAGACTAGACAGTCCCTTGTCTGAAATGGTATAAGTTCTCCTGCTTGAGCAGGGGGTTGGACTAGAAGATCTCCAAGGTCTCTTTCTATTCTATTCTATTCTATTCTATTCTATTCTATTCTATTCTATTCTATTCTATTCTATTCTATTCTATTCTATTCTATTCTATTCTAAGACAATGATCTCAAACTCCAGGTTGTTTAGTGCCATGAAAACTTTAATCCTAGAAGCACACTGGATAAATCTGGGACAGATTCTTACTACACATAGTCCTCAACATACGATCATAATTGAGCCCAAATGTTATGTTGCTAAGTGAGAAATTTGTTAAGTGTCACATGTCCTATCACATTTGTTTAACAAATCACTGCAGTTGTTAAATTACTAACACAGTTGTTAAGTGAATCTGGCTTCCCCATTGACTTTACTAATCAGAAGGTTGCAAAAGGTGACGACATGACTTCAGGACGCTACAACCATCATAAATATGGGTCAGTTGTCAAGCATATGAATGTAAATCATGTGACCATGGCAATGCTGCAACGGTCATAAATGTGAAAAATGGTCATAAGTTGCTTTTTTCAGTGCCATTGTAACTTCAAACAACCACTAACCAAATTGCTGTAAGTCAAGGACTACCTGCATAGCCCAACCTAGTCCACAGAGTTGGGAGAAAAAAAAATAGAAGGCAGGAGTATAACATACAGGGGGGAAAAAATCAAATGCCAGCATGTCAGCACTATTCTG